TCAAGAAAAAAAAAACGAACAAACTTTCAAACAATTCACTAAAAAATTTCACGAATGGATCGACGGAATTTGTAACTGACCATATATGTAGAATCACGTCACCAAAGCTACATGAAGCATTACCACTTTCAGCAGGCTAACCGAAATATAACTCGGAGGAAAACTTGTGCAAAAAGACAGATAACTCATGTCATGTAAAGTGATGCGAGTAGTGTCATCCTTGTGCCATGTCCTCTGAAAAAGCCTTTCCAGTTCTCCATATCTACATATATTTATTACAAACTTTGAAAGAGATATTTTTTATAGGGACAGGTCATTTTTTTTTTAAATTACAATAAACTAGAATTTTTTTTCAATTTACTGTCATGTTGTGAATTTTGAATTAACCGGGTATAAGTAATTACAAAATTTACAACAAAAATCTAAGATTTTCATGCATGTTATTGTATGATAGAAGAAAGAGAACTACTGTATTTACAGTTAGAATGGTTTGCAAAATGTAATCGATTCTTGATTGTCGTGCTTTGATGTAACATTAACATGCACCAGTCTAGAACATCGTTTAACCTTTAGAACTTTGTCAAAACATGGAAATACATAGGTTTTGTTTTAAAATCAGGTCAATAAGATTGCGGGGGGGGGGGGGGGAGGGAGGGTAAGAATGATTTTTAAAGACATCAATTTTGCATACGCCTTGGGCCTGAGAGCTAAAGACGCAAATTTCACAATATGATAGAGGATTAATAACGTATTGCAAGATTTTGCTGAATAAAGATTTTCAAATTAAAGATAAAATGATGGATTGTTTGATATTTTTCATTCCTTTCAAGATTATTTCACTCATATGAGACACGGATTTATCAGTACATTCTCAGGGGCCGAAATTCGCTCCCATTCCCAATGGAAAATAGCCTCAATTTTTCCAAATTTGTTGGGAAAATTTCCCAAAATAAAATATTGAACACATAAATATTTTTATAATTAAATCATGTAGTCGTCACATGGCTAAAACTTTGCCAGCTTCTGTAGATAGAAAGAAGAGTTAAGAACCTTACATCTTTTAGTTCACATTAATAAAATCATATTACTTATCATCTAAATTAATTTATGTTATAATTATTTCCTTTTAAAGCCACTTTCTTACATAGTTCTTGTCAGCCTGAGATCGTATCTGCGAGATATAAATATTAGTGATGGAACTCATATGCTAGATGGCCACCGATGCTTTATAATGGGTACAATGTATTCAGTATTCAAAATATCATTCAATTTTAAACACCTGCACTGATAAAAACAATAAAAATTGTCATTTTAGCTGAAATGAGCAAACAAATTTATGGATATAAATAGATTAGGTGAGACTTATTACCTCCAAGTTGCACTAAAAAGTATTCCAACTTTTTTTAATCCTTAATTCTTTTTTTTCTTTTTAATTTCAAATAATCAAAAAAGCATTTTCATTTCAATTGTAATGTGAATTAATTTTAATTATGAAGTGATAATTTAATTCACTTCGAGTTAACATTTTAAATTTAGAAAAAATTCACAAAAAATTGTCCACCAAACATAATTTTTAAAAATCAATCATGAATGTGATTAGTATAAATAAATGTTCAAACATTTAACTCAAAACATAGAAAATCATATAATACTTTGCAATTTATTATGATCATTATTATTTCAACTTGGTGGACATACAACGAGTTTTCAAAAGGAGGTTAAAAAAATGGGAATATAAGTTGTTAACTTAAGGAATTTTAAGTCTTCTATTTTTTTCCCCCAATTTTACCAAATTGTCGATAAATTTTTCCCAATTTTCAAAGTTACATAGTGAGTTAATATCACGTGTTTCTTTTAAGATAATTGTATCGTAAAGCTTAAGATTAATGAAAGATATGATTAAGGCGAAGGTTTCAGATCTTAACTGCACGGTAAAAGCAAGAAAAGACTGCAAAATGTAAGTGCCGGAAAAAGAAAAGTCGTATCTATTGCGTGGTTGTTATCGTCAATGTCAAGATCATGTGTCTTTTATTTTTAGCGTGAAACTTGTAAACAACATTGAATTGGAGCAATTAAAAGTGAGGAATACGTTCTGATTATCCTTTTTGAAGATTAGATCAAAATTCTCGGTCATCCAACATTTATATCTATGGAATTGACACCATGGTAACTACTTCAGCTTTTCTGGCCAAGCGTACCTTAAAGAGGAAGAAGTTAAGCAATATTTTCGTGTTGGGGCAAACTAAAATTATTTTTACTTTTATTTTTTCTCCATAAAAGTAGATTTTTTAGGTCATGAAACCTGTAATTTTCTGAAACCTAATACCTTCAAGAATTAAATAAAATTTGCATTTGTCTTGCAAAAATTCTACTTTTGTAAATTTTCCCGTTTTTCCGTCACGGTGACTCTTAGACAAAAAAGGCGTTTCCCAACATAGGCTGATAAATCCCTGTGAGAAGTCACCATATGTCGGGCCTTTACTTGGCACATAAGGACATTGAACAGTGACGGATCTTTATCGTGCCAATGCCTGCCGTGACGGGGCCTCGGTTTTTATGGTCTCACCGGGAAAGACCCGGAATATTCACTTCAAAGAAAGACCACAATTTTCACTACAAAGTGCCGATCGCTTGGCAAAGAATAGTAACTGTTGCTACCTATTTTTCATCGACTTAGGTTTGTTGCGGCTTGAACCGACGACATTCCAATCACGGAGCGAGCGCTCTACCGAATCACAACCTGCCATAACGGAATGAATAAACTCAGTGGTCCGAACCTGTATGAATTTCACAATTTTGTGAGGCTAACTGTTAATTACATAGGTTAAAAGTTTGTTTGGTATAATGTAGAATTCAAAGAGATAATGATGTTTCAATTTATAAAATATTTCCTCAACTTGATCCTGGACTATATGAAATGTTTTATTATTAACTTCTTGTACTCTGAGATATGTATATATATAAGAAATGAATTTAATTTTTGAAGATTCATGAAAAATATGAGCTCCAAATAGAAGAAGTTGTATCCGTTTTCTGTTGATTAAAGGCGTGTTGACGACTGACAAACGCATCAATATTTAGGAAAATCATCACTATACGGGATACAACCACGACAACGAAATAAATTAATGCTTTAGAGTCCAGAATTAGGCGCTGAAGTGGGTGGGGGTATTTTTTTTCCAAGATGAAGCTATCGTCCCTTGTAGAGTTTATGTATATAGGTGTGGTACGTCTTTTTTTAAATGTGGTTTTTCTTGACTGAAAGTGTCAGAATTTTTATTTTAACAACTTTTAAGTGTATTTAAAGTAGATTCAAAATTTCATTAATTTATTTTACATCTAACAATCCGGAAGACAAGCCCCTATGATAATTCCTACACCAACCTAGATGGTCAACTTTTTTGAAATTTCAGAATTTGGTGACTTTTTACAATAACTTTCATTTAATTGGCTGTAAAAGGAATCTCTAGGTCAGAAATACAAAAAATATGGAAAAATGTTATAATTTTGCGCTTTCCCAACAAATTCCAATAGTAAAATTTGACAACTTTTGAGATGGCCCCCTAAGAAATCGGGACGGTAAACATTCGATTTTTTTAATCTTAAAACAATAAATATAATAGTAAAAATTAATTCAAGAAAATTAATCAAAATCTCTAGGGTAGAAATAATTAGACTAGGCCTCGTTAAGTACTCAGCCTCCTTGGCATCCAATACTCGAAAATTTCAGCAGAATTTACTGTATTTTCAATATGCAATTAGTGAATAAAAAGTTCCATTTATGTGCAAAATGTATATCAACTAAATTTCTTTTATACCTATATTTATCTGTATAATTTATAATATTTAAAAAAAAAAAAATACATTTTAGGGTCTCCAAATTTGGGCATTACCGGGCAAGAAATCGCCCTTGAAGATGGATGTACAATAATTGATTCAAACGTACAAAATTGAACTAAATTGAAGTAAAACAATTGTTACAGACATATACTAAATTCAATGACAAGTGGATCTCCTCTGCTGAAAAGAATGCTGAATGTAGAATCCCCTAATGCAAGTACATGCAATAATCCAGGCACTAGTGCAGGTATAATATGTTTACCTTAACTGAATACATGTATCACTGCATACTTCATATAGAAAGATAATTTGCCTTCTTTCAAAATGATATGTAACAGTTTGAAATTCTTATACCAGATTAATTAGAAGTTTAAAAATTGCATTTTCAGGAACTAGCAATCAAAGATTCTCCGTGCAGTCCATAAGGAAAAAAGATTCAGCCAAAAACGCAAACGTCTTGATAGATGCTCCATGGAGGCAGTCTCCTAGCAAAGTTTAATAGTTTATCGAATATATATATTCTTAATATGAAGAAAAAGGTAACGGAACACCGGTTAAAGGTTAACATACGTACGTCTATATGGATCATACCAGTATAAATGTATATGCATTGTTTGGGTATGGAACTTTTAATATTAATACTTGTATTTCTTTCTATTTATTTAGATGTCTTTCAACTGTTATTCCTCATTTCTCAAATCATGTTGCATTCTTCTAGATCGATGAACCAGTACCCTGCAAAAACAAAAACAGAAAGAGACATATAAAGTAACTATTGGACCGATGACTTTCGTATACGGTGCATTACAGTATGTAATGCCTATAGACGAGAGGGGATGCGAAAAAAAACAAGCTAATTCAGAGAATTTGTGTCCCCCGCTTAGGGAAAAAAGAAGAGCATGCGCAGTTCGAAGATTTTTGTTCATTTGAGAAAATTGAACCCGGGCCTATCGCTTGCTAAGCCAATCTAATTAAAATTAGACTTGTAATTTTCGCTCCTCTACGATACGCTTCAATACAAGATCTAACAACACCCCGTCCGAGGTCACCTCAGTGTGACCTTTGATACAAATCAATTAGCCAATGAAAAATAACCAATGACGTCAAGAATCGACCAATGAGAAAGTGTTTGTTATATGCTTATCGCTTGGCATTTAAAAATGGCTGCGCCCATTGAGAAAGTTACGAATTCACTAAATATACAACTGAAGCCTCAACAGCTGGACATTTTGCAGTGTCTGCTTGATAGGAAGGACTGCATGGCAGTTTTACCGACTGGCTTCGGTAAATCATTACCTTATCAACTACTTCCGTTGGTACAACGAGAAATCGGCCACACTGGGATTGTACTTGTTTGTTGTCCCCTTGTTTCTTTGATGAAAGATCAGGTTGAGAGAATAAATGCAATTAAAGGTGTAACGGCCGCATATAAAGGTATATTTTATTTTATTCCCAGTTTTTGCTTCATGACGTTTTGTAACCCACTTGCGAAATGATATTGCTATTCAACAGGTCTGGTACAATCACTAGAATTATCTACGTAGCTTGAAATACCTACATAGCTTTATTTGCCTACCTGAGGTAGCTTTATTTAGCTACTTAATCAAACTTATTTCTGAAATTAGCATTTTCCTTATGAAGTGCAGAAAATTGCACTTTGATGCAGTGATAATTTTCAACTTTGAACTCATCTGAAAATAATTCATGAAAAAATCACTCATAGAGATGTGTGTTTTTTCTGCACAATTGCAATCAAAAAAGTTCTAAAAGTTTTGGGGCTATGTACAACAGTTAACTTGTGACCAAACAGTTACATCCAGAATGAAATAGCAAAGAAAACCAGTTTTGGTTAACATGAGCACAATGTAAAGTAATCATACTTATCCACGCCTCACTGCACACAAGGTGGTGTAAAGTTACTCAAACAATGGAAATACATCTTTTCCTTAAAAATGTTCAAACGCAACAATGTTTAAACTATCTCTGCTTTGGATTGCTTTTTAAATAATTCCTAGAATAAATATTACTAGACATTTACTTGCGACTTTTTGTCTTCTTAAAAAAAAAAAGCAAAATTGTGAAAAGTTGCCCTAAAGTAGCTAAATAAAGCTACCTGAGGTAGCTCAATAAAGCTACGGTAGGTAATTCTAGCTACATATGATAAATGTACTGATTGTACTGGACCTGTTCAAGAGGAATTTTCTATTCAAAGGAATTATTTAATTTAACAAACACAAATATAACATGAATATAATTTATGCAGCTTTTTAAAACACTTACTACCAAACAATTACATAAAATATAACATGGGGCATCAGTCATTAACTCAATATTTGAAAATTGAGACAGGGTAATTGATCTTAATCTTGGTTATACTTGAAATACTATTGAAACCTTGCAGAAATTTTATGACTTTATATGTTTAATAAATACCAAGTTTAAAGTTTGGCAAAGAGAGCCTTAGTTTTGTTCTGCCATGTATGGTAAAATATTACAATAAACTTTATATCTATGGTCTGCACAAAAAAATATCATTCATATGCTTGTTTTCCTGTGATCACCTGCTGCATGTCATTCACTTAAGCATGCTAAATACATTCCCTACTTTTTACAGGTCAAGGTCTAGATAAAGAGATTTTGAGTGGCGAGGTAGACATCATATTTGGAAGTCCGGAGTCACTGTTAGGTGAATGGCGGGCTGAACTACAGCAACTCAATGTCACTGCAATTGTTATAGATGAATTTCATTTAATATCAACGTGGTAAGAATTTTTAAAATACATTTTAGTTTTGATATACATTCAAAGAATTGTAAAATGAGGGAAGAAAATTTTTCTCAATATGCTTCATGAACTAAAATATTGTAATTATATATGTTATATGTTTATGCCCATTAGGCCCTGATTTGGTAATAAATTCTATTCTTATGTATTCATATATTTCAGGGGACAAGATGATGAACATATTCACAAGAGAGCATTTAGGAAATGGTTTGGTGATCTTGGAGAATTACGTTCCATCTTTCCAAATGCGTCACTGCTTGCCCTTAGTGCCACTTGCACACTGAAAGTACAGAAACGTGTGTTGAAAGTGGTATCCTTTAAGCCAGATTTTACATTTGTGTACTTGTCACCGGACAAAAGAAACATCAAGTATGTTGTAAAGAAAGTGGCAAATGACATTGAAATGGCAATGACATGGTTAGTGGATGGACTGGTGAACATGGGAAGTCTATTTCCAAGAACACTAATTTATTGTAAATCAATTAGTGATGTGGCAAAGATTTACGATTATGTGTCAGACGAATTGCCAGAGGACTTGTGCTCATATATAGCTATGTATCATTCAGAGACTGAAGAATCTATCAAAGAGACTGTGTTATTGTCCATTCGGGAGAAAGAGAGCCCTATAAGAGTTATTGTTTCCACTAATGCTTTGGGTATGGGGGTGGATTTTAAAGATCTACACAGCATTATTTTATTTGGTCCACCTCATTCTATACTTGAAGTGGTGCAGGAAATTGGACGTGCTGGGAGAGATGGTGAAAAGTCTGTGTCTTTGCTACTTTATAATTCCCATCACCTTGCCCGATGTGGCCCAGAAGTAAAGAAACTCTTTAAGAGCAATGACTGCCGAAGAATACAGATGATGGAATCATTTCTTAAGGAAAGTGAACTTGATAAAGTAAAATCTTATGCAGGAAATTGTTCATGCTGTGACGTATGTCAGAACAACTGTTTATGTGGGGATTGTTCTCAACTGCCATTGGAGAAATTGTTTTTAGGGAATCATGTAACTTTTCCCAATGATCATGAAACTTCAGAAGATTCTGATTCTTGAGAATAATTCTTCTCGACATGGGGATAACAAGAATTCTGTGAGCACCAATTATGGCCCAGCTCTGATTTGAATATACACTTTCATGTTAATATACAAAAGTTCTTTTAAAGAAATATTGGCATGGACAGATGCAGGGATAAACAGGAAGTTGACATCAAATTCAAACAAAAATGAATCCCATCATATGGCATGCTTAAAAAAAGAGCGTGCTAAAATTTCAGGCATCTGCGAAGAGTAACTGCTGAGAAAACCTGTGAAAATTTGTTAAGACAGACACAAACATAAACGCACAAGGTAAACCAGTATACCCCCTCTCCTTTGGGGATATAATAATTATAGGAAATGCTAATAAATTACATTATTTGGACATTTGGTATGATATATTTTGTGAAGTAATTAAATATTCAATAACATATATCTGCATTTTAGAGTTATATATTAGACAATTACTGCTGGTTTTTTGAGGTCAATACGATGATTTAGAAACCCGAGGAGTACAATATTCACCGAGCCCGAAGGGCGAGGGCGAGGTGAATATTGTACTTCGAAGGTGGCTAAATCATCATATTGACCGAAAAAAACAGCAATAATTGTTTTATTATATGATTCAATGATTAAATAACACACTCATTAAGCAATCCATGCCATCTTACTTGTTCACATCTACTGAAGTACTAGCCCAACATAATGAGAGAAACAGGGTTAAAAACAGTTGTATTATTCTGGAATTTTTAAATCTAGGTTAGGTGCAATGTAGAAAAATAAATGTCAGGCACATATATAGGATTGATTTTGAAAAGGGGGGCATTAAAAGGAAAAAATTGACAACTTATTTGAAAACAAATCTTTGACTGCCCCCCCCCCCCCCCAAAGAAAGGAAAAGAATTCTCCCAAATCAAAATTTTATTTGGTGGAATGTAAAGGTCCATAAACTTTTCGACAGAACTTTCATTGAAATTTTTTATCCTTAAAATTTAAATTAAAACTTAACATTCTCAAAAGTTGGAGAGAGGGTTAGGCCTCCTGCAACCCCCCCCCCCTTCCCCTGACCCCTCACCCAAGAATCTATGTGCCATAATGTTAAGTTCGTACGAGTGGATGTCAGGTGCAAGTGAAATAACTTTCCAAAACTATTTGCATCAATTTGGAATTTCCCTATCTATTTTTGTTCCAATGTAGAATGAATAATTCCTTATACTGACCTGAAGATCATGTGCAGGTCAATATAACGTAGTATTTTTCTAACATTGTTGGATCTCAGCCAATCAGAGAGATGGGAATTATTCATTCATATAATAATCATATTTACTGAAAATAAAATAAAAGACGCTATTCTGGGACTACCGGTAATCATATTTATAGCCAAGTGCTGAAACATTGCATAAAATATTTTAGATCAAACATTTAAGAATTTTAATGAATGAACAAATATTGAAACCATTATTATAATAATCAATATCATTTATAAAGCTTTTTATCTTAAGACTCTTGCCTATAATTGATGCCACTTGTAACACCTTCCATGCTATATAGTTACATACTAAAACAAATGCTCATTGACTAAATAATGAATAAGGTACAGGTATGCATTACAATTTCACAGTCACTTAGTTACATACTAAGACAAATGCTCATTGACTAAATAATGAATAAGGTATGCATCACAATATCATAGTCAAATGAAATTGGCAAGTTCAAAATTTACAGTCTCTTAGTCTTCCATATGGTGACCATGGTCTATGGCGATGCAGCATGGTTGACAAGCCTTGAGAACAATTTGAAAATGGATTCCTGTCTAAACCAGTTGTTTTTACTTTTAACTTCCTGTTTTCATTTTTCTGTAAAATGTTATTCTCCAGTAAATCCTTTATAACTTTCTCAACATCAGTTGCGTAGGAAGGAAGATGATGAAATCCTTTCCTTTGGCCAAATTCACCTGCCTCTTCGAACTGTTTTGTGAATTGTATGAGCAAAGGATACTCTTTCGAATGTTTCAGTATACTTTCCTTAGTTTTGTGCCCAGTACAAGAGGCTTTGCTGTCTCTGTTAAGCATTTCAATGTACTCATCCAAAGCAATGTTGTTATTCTTGCCACCTTGGATATTCACAAATCTGTTTGCTATGAATCGTTCCTCCTGGTCAGCATTAAGAAGTCCTGAGGACAATGCCGTAGTATGAATGGAGCAAATGGAATATTTGATTTTATTTGTTTTGTGGTAAATTGGAAGCTCATACTTTGCAGATCGTACACATCTTCCACCATCCCCCATATCTACTGCACTGTCAAAATTTCGATGGAGCATAACAAGTTTAAAAAGCATCAACACATAATCATGCAATTCATCATTGCTGCATTCTTTCTTTTTCTTTGTCTTACTCAAAGAGACGTCATGAAATCCAGACTCGTGAGCTTTTAAAGAACTTACTCTTTTATAGTCCTTTTCACAATGATGACATTTAAAACGACCATTTTCTAATGTCGAAGTCCAGTAGTTTTCCTCATGCTGAGGATTTTCTAGAACACTCCTTATTTCCTCACAAATATCTTGACCATCTTCAAAGAACCATTTTTCCACCAGCTCCCTACACATGTTATTCAACCACTGAATGCTGTCATTGGGTGTCATTTGTGAAAAATCTGGAAGTGGAAGATCATTCATGTCTACTGACCCCAGCTTGTCCATAAAGAGCACTACACAGATGGCATCAAGAATAGTATAATAAAGCATCTTGTATGCTCTGTATGCATTCTTTACTGGTCCTTTAGCACTTCTATGTCCCAAAAGGTTCCTGTAATAGTGGGCAGTACATGGGTCACCTGCCATGCCAGTGCTGTACGTAAGCTTATAAATGGCCTGCAAAATTAGATTTAGTAAAATTTACTCATGTAAACAATATTTTGCACCTAGGAAAAAAAATGCATGGTATATCGTTATGACAGAACTTTGAAATATAAGCAATTTAAATGAAGTTCTAACAGAACGTAGTTAATCTATAAGAAGTAAATCAGTAAGTAAATATTCACTGACTGCCTTAAAAACATTTTTTTATTTTATAGAAAGTATTTTATAAGACTTAATAAATAGTAACTGTAAGGATATAGGTAATTTTCATTTAAATTTTACTTACTTCGAGAAAATTCATCAATCTGTGAAAGTCTTCTGATTTTGAAATGAATCCCTCTAGCCGTCCTTTTGATGTCAGTGAATCCTTGAGTGCAACCTGTGCACAATGTATTCTCTCATCAGTGAGACGATCCCCTTTAAAAAAAACATAATGCATAATACTGGCTTTCAAAATGTTGCATATTTGGTTGCTGTGGTTCAAGATCAAAGAATATAATTAACACCTTGATTTGTGAATATCATCAGTTTACACATCTTGGATTTATTACATGCTTTTTCACTATCAAGTATAGAGTCAGATTTACCAAGGTATTTAAATGCCTCGTTGACATACCTCCAAAGAAAACAGCATCAACAACCTCTTCATTCTCTAATGGGACATACAGGTCGGTAAGATGTCTAAGGAGCCGAATCACTTCGTCCGTTTTATTTTCATTCGTATCAAAGAGTCCCAAAGAATACTGAAAAAAAAATCACCTCTGGTTAATCATATTATCTACATGTACAAGTTGTAAAGTTAAAATTAATGATTTTATAGAATGTGAATCTTACTTGTGTTGTTTTTAGTCCTGCAAAAGCTGAATGTTCATGATCCAAGTGCTTTGGGAAAATAGTCTCAAAGTGCTTTGACACTTGGGGAACATGTCTAATAATGGCTGAAGCAAAAATAAATGTTAGTTCCTTCAATAACTGTGTTTGTTCGAGGACAGAGGGGATGTATGTGAGGTTTTCTTCGTATCCATTTGACCCCGCTGGACTGGTGGTGGTGTACCTGTCAACAATGGCATAGATTTGGAACAAATGGAGACTCTCTGTTTTTCTCTCACTGGTTCGATAAGAAGGGAGAATGTCCTTGTCCCAATTGTCACCCACCAACTGGAATTTTTTGGCAACCTCTTCCTTGTTGGTCCATTTTATCTATAAATATTTAGTTCTTGTGTAACATATCTTTTGATTTGATAAAAAAAATTTTGTGTTGCCTACGTCACAAATTAGTCAAAAATGTATCAATCTGCTTGTCAACACATTTAAAATTTGTACAATTTGAAGGCATTTTTGAAGGGGAAAAAGTCCTAGTTTTTATTAAGTGTAATGATAAAATATTGTATATGTATACTAACTATACCTAACAATATACCTATACCTAACATATACCTAACAATACTTGTACAGTTAAACTGTCAACATGTATTATGTTACGTGTGTTAACTTTAAACAAGAAGAGCTGCAAAAAACATAACCTCCCTGGAAAAAAAAAATTACCTTTAGGATTTTGAGTTCTTCATCCAACTTATCCTGCCAACTTGTCAGTTTATTGTGAAGTGTCTGGGGATGAACACATAGTCCAGCTTTACAAAGTGATTCAATGGTCTGTAATGAAAATAATGTAGCAGAGCAGCAATCAAGACAAGATGGTTTTGAAATCAGTGTGATGTTTATTACATGGATTATATACTTAAGTACCAGATTCTGCAAAACAATATAAAATACATTAACTATATCTGATATCACACATAACAGCAGAATCTATTGTTATCATAAAATCAAATAATTACTACATATTAATTAGATCATAAAATAATATTGACACAGGTCAATGAGTTATATCTCTTGACAAATGATATTTCTCTTTATATATTCACTTCATATAGTGGATAAATATTTACAATATACATGTACATATAGCTACATACCAAACTATGGGTATGAATCCATCTCTATTTCTAATACAGTGTATATGTATTGCTATGGATTTAATATCTACAATTCATAAATAACATTTATACACTATATATTCTTTTGTGTCATAAAATACATTTCATTACAAAGTTTAAAATCAACTAGTTCATCAGCTTTGACAAACTTAAATAATTTAATAAATTCTCTCATATGCCACTTTTCATTCATACAATTATTAATATGAAAGTATTAATGTGAAATAAGAATGTCAAAAAGTCAACTTACTGTCAGTGGTCTATAAAATACTCCAAATATCAAAAATACAACTTTACACACTGACTGCTCCTAGGCTAGTAATTATCTGGACACTCTGGACAAAGGGGGTTAAAGGTTTTGGTGGGAAAATATTAACCAATGGCAATTCTTACTTATTTATTTATTCAAGGTTAAAAGTTAAACTGTAATTTAGAACTCTAGAGATTTCTAGACTTTAATTAGAGGTAGTTGTTATAAATTTATTTAAATGTTTAATATTTAAATAAAACATTTTTATTTTAAATTAAGTTTATTATTGAAAGTTATTTCATAACTTTCAATGGCATCTGAAAGAAAATTGTTGTTATAATTAAAATCAATATAAAAACATGACTATTACACACTTCCCCTCCTTTGAAATGACGTCTTCGTCATCTTGTCTCTATGGAAGTGTGAACAAATAATCTGTAAATTAAAATAAAATAAAATCAAAGTGAATTATCCGTCATAAAAAATTATTTCTGCAACAGGATTTCAAGGAAAGTGGAAGACAGTTGTTTCTGGTCTACACCGGAAAGATGGTTATCTGAAACAAGAGATTTTAAATAATTGCATTTTAATTTCCAGTCTGGATCTTTAGCTTGCTGTATTGACATGGAGTATTCTCCAGTCTTCATCCAAGCAGGCTTGGTCTTTGCTCTTACAGGTCTTACAGGTTTTTCAGATATATTTGCTGTTTGGATATCTTTTGCTTGATTTTCAATTTCTTCTTGGGTGACAGCTTCTGAAATTTCATCATCTTGTTGATCTGTAACAACTTCTTCTTCAATATGTGGATCTTCTTGCAGAGAATGGCTTTCAGCCTCTGGCTCACAATTCTTAGAGTCATCAGATGTGTTGCTCTTATCTTCAAGAGTGAGAGCGTCCTCTCCCACATCTGAGTCTTCTTCTGCTGGTTCAGTCCAGCCAGCTGGAATCTGACCGTCATCAGCCTGGTCTGTACCAACATCTGAAGGAGTAATGTTTCCTTCAAAATGGTTTTGTGGACTAGTCCATATAACTTCCTCGTCACTGCTGTCACTTTCGCTTTCGTCTCTTGTATCCGGTGTGTTTCTCTTAGTTTTTCTTGGTAATCTCTTTCTGGGTCTAGGAGTGGGTCTTATTACTCTGGGTTCTGTTGGTTGGAAATCCAAATATCCAATAGGTAGAAGGAGATTTCTATGTATCGTTCTCTGTCTATTGGATCCTTCTTCTTTTACTATGTAAACTGGAATGGTGGAATTTGGTTGATCTACTATAATATATGGTGTTGACTCCCACTTGTCAGCAATTTTATGCTTTCCATCAAAATTTGTAATTTTAACCAAAACTCTGTCTCCTTTTTCTAAAATCGCAGATCTAACTTTTAAATCGTAGTTACGTTTCTGTCTTTCTTGAGCTTTTTGGTTCGCTGCTGTGGCTAACTGATAAGCTTCTTTTAATTTGGCTTTTAATGATTCTACATATTTTGGAATAGGAATTTCTGAAGAAGATGTTGGAATGTTAAAAGCAATATCTATTGGTAATCTTGGTTGTCTGCCAAACATTAAGAAAAATGGTGAATGCTGAGTTGATTCCTGTTTCATGCAGTTGTAAGCATGAACTAAAGGTCCGATGTGGGATTTCCAGTCTGCTTTTTGATCTATGTTTAAAGTTCCTAACATCTGAAGAAGTGTTCTATTATACCTTTCACAGAGTCCATTACCCATTGGATGGTAAGGTGTTGTTCTGGACTTCTGAATATTCATGATGTTACAAAGTTCTTCAATTAATTTTCCTTCAAATTGGGCCCCTTGATCACTATGGATTTTCTGCGGAATACCGTAATGAACAATGAACTGATTAAATAATACATCTGCAGTGGTTTTAGCAGTTTGGTTCTTTGTAGGAATTGCTTGAGCATACTTGGTGAAGTGGTCCGTCATTACCAAAATATTCTGAAAACCGCCTTTTGAAGATTCTAAAGTCAAAAAATCAATGCAAAGTAGCTCAAGAGGTTGAGAAGTTGTAATGTTTATCAAAGGAGCTTTCTCAGTTTGGGCTTTTCGAAGAATGCATCTGTTGCATGACTTGATGTAACGTTCAATGTCTTTAGTCATTCCATACCAGTAAAATCTGTCTTGAATAATACTTGTTGTTTTCTCTCTACCAGGATGTCCCATATCTGTGTGCAAAAATTTAAAAACTGCTTTTCTACAAGAGAATGGTAAAACAATTTGATGTTTCATGGATTCGCCATTTCTTGATTTTCTGAAAAGAATTCCATTATTAATATAAAATTTATCAAAATTTCTGAGCATAGCTAAATGAAATGGAATGTTGTTGCTAGGAAGGTTCTCTTTCCTGGGAGGAATTCCATTTCTAACCTGTGAAAACCAAAAACAAATATCTCTATCTCTACACTGTTCTCTTTTGATGTTGAAATCTGAAAATTTTGAAAGATCTGATTGAATTAAGTTGTTGGTAATATCTGGTGAAATAGACAAACATTCAATAAATGGAACATTGGCATGATGAACATTACAAATACTTTTAATTGTATCAGCAGAAATCTGTTCTCTGTCACGAACATCTGAAATTTCAGGCAATCGTGATAAACTATCAGCATCTGCGTTGCTTTTACCAGGACGGTAGAAAATATTGAAGTCATAGGTGGCTAAAGAAGCAATCCATCTTTGAGAAGTAGCATCCAACTTTGCAGTAGATAGGACGTACGTCAATGGGTTATTGTCTGTAATCACATCAAATGTTGTACCATACAAGTAATCTGAAAATTTTTCTGTAATTGACCACTTGAGAGCTAAAAACTCAAGTTTGTGAATAGGATAATTTTTCTCAGATTTAGAAAGACCACGGCTTGCGTAAGCAATGACACGTTTCTGTCCATCTTGAAGCTGGTACAACACAGCACCTAACCCTTTCTGTGATGCATCTGTGTGGATCTCAAATGGTTGACCATAAATGGGAAAACCTAAAATGGGAAAGTGAATTAAACAATTTTTTAGTTTCTGAAAAGAAATGTCTTGTTCTTGTTCCCATTGCCAGTTTGGTGGTGACGTCTTTGCAGATTTGGAATTTCTGTTTATCTTCTTTGAGGAATCTGGAATTAAATTTGTTAAAGGTCTAGCTATTTTTGAAAAATCTTTAATAAATTTCCTATAATAACCAACAAAGCCTAAAAATTGTCGAACTTGATCTGAGTTAATAGGTGTTGGCCAGTCTTTAACTTTCTGTATCTTTTCTGGATCAGGTTCAATTCCATTTTCTGAAACAATATGACCAACATATTTGACCTTTTTCTTGCAAAATTCACATTTCCTTGGAGATAATTTTAAATTGATCTGTCTTAACCTCTGAAATATTTGTTCTAGTCTTTCAAGATGCTCTTCAAATGTATTGGAAAATATAATGATGTCATCCAAATAGATATAGCAAATCTTGAGATGTAGTCCATCAAATGCTTCCTCCATGAGTCTTTGGTAAGTTGCCGGAGCATTGCAGAGACCAAATGGCATCCGGTTGAACTCAAAAAAACCAAGGGGACCAACTGTAAAAGCTGTCCGCTCCTTGTGTTTTTCAAAGACCTCTATCTGGTGATAGCCACTCTTCATATCTAGTATGGTAAAGAACTTGTTATTAGAGAGAGCTTCTAAAATCTCATCAGTCCTTGGTAAGGCATAAGAATCCTTTTTAGTTCTGTTATTTAATTCTCTGTAGTCGATGCACATTCTTAAAGACTTGTCTTTCTTTCTGCAAAGTACTACATTACTTGACCAAGGTGATTTAGATTTTCTAATAAGTCCTGCATTTATCAGACTTTGGAGATGGTTCTTAACTTCCATGTACATATTCGGTGGAATTTTCCTGGATTTTTGTTTGAAAGGTGTTTCATCAATCAATTCTATCTTATGCTGAACTAGTGTGGTATGTCCGATGTCTGTGTCTGATGATGAAAATACATCTTGATACTTCTGGAGAAGATCAGTTAGGACTTGTCTCTCAGATGTTGTTGAACTCTCATCTATGTGAAGTAATTTCAGGTTGTTGTTGGAGTTGTCTCCCTTAGAATGTGTGATTTCCTCTATGTTAACAGGATGTAGTTCACACAATATGGCCTTTGGAGAAATGGTAACAGTTCTTGTTGTAATATTGTCAATTTGGACAGGAATAAGTCTATCACATGGGTACTGGTAGTTCACAACAGATGGTACGATGTCTAAGTCCACAGGAATTCTAGACCTTGGTGTTGCTTGTAAAAGTGCACAAGTCGCATGATAAGGAACTGCTTTGTCAACATAACCTTGTAATGTGACAGAAGAGTTTGGTCTAATAGTGATGCGGTTCAGATGTACTGACTTAACAACACCAAGTCTGTTATTGTTCCTCTGTAATTCCTTTTCTCTGAGTAGCAAGGATCTCAAAGTCAGGTACCATGGTGTATGTAACTTTGGTTCTTGCAAACATCTACTACCAAATTTATCTTGCAGATTGTTCAATAAATGCTGCAGAATGTTTGTGCCAAGAAGAACTGGTACTTCCTTATTGTATGTATTCTCTGGGACAACAAGGAGTAAACATGGGCATGGCTCTTCAAGAGAAGGTATGCCAAGGGAAGTAATGCTCCCTTCTATGTATCCTGAATAAGGTAAACATTGACCATCTGCACACTCCACATTAAGTATATTGGTAACTGGATGTAATGTAAGATGGTTTAAGTTATTGCGATAGAAAGATTCGCTTATAGTGGACACAGTAGACCCAGTATCTAGGAGAGCTTTACATGCAGTATCCTCCACGTTGATATTTACTTCTGTTGCATCTCCTATTAAAGTTAATGATTTATTGATAGGGCGACTCAAATGATGCAGGCCTAGCGTCTGCCCCCTAACACAGGCCTGTTCTTGTTTAAATCAGTTAGGTTTTTTCTGCTTAGATTGACTCGACATCCATATGCTAAGTGTCCGGATTGCCCACACCTGCGGCATATAGGCTCATCATTGCTATAAGATGATTGTCTGCCCATACCTCTCATCCTGTTTGATTGAGTGAGTGGTCTTGCTCTCGATCTTCCTCTGCTGTACCAAGTAGATGGTTGTGGGTCAATCCTCCTTTGCGTAAATTGATTTGTCTGCTCTTGTTGTTGATATTTCTGAGTCTCGAGTGAGTCAACCTTGGTAGATAATTTCTGGATCATAGCTTTCAGTTCTGAAATCTCATTTGAAGATGTTGAGTCTGTTGATTTTACTACGACGTTCATATTTGTTTTCTTCTTATCTTTAGGATGTTCTTTCTCAATAAGTCTAATTTCCTTTCTCAATTCATCAAATGTATCACATTTATCATATAGATATCCCGATATATCTTTGAAATCTTGTCGTAATCCTGACCAGAATTTGGTCTTCAACATTTCATCGACATCTTGGTGGTGAACTTTACCTTTGTCAACTGCTCTACTTAAAAGCTCTTCAAGACGGCATCCCCATGTCGTGGTGTTTTCATCAGGTTTCTGAGTAGCACTGTAGAACTGAGTTAATAATGATTCACCTTTTTCTACAGTTCCATGGATGCTTTCCATTTTTTCTAAGACTTGGCTTAGTGTCGCATCTGGACCTAATCTCATGGGTATCTGGCTAGCTTGACCTCTCAATGATCTTCTAATAGCCTGTAGAATCACATTCTCAGTATATCCTTCCCGTGAAAGACATTCAACCTCATACTTCCATACTTCATATGGCACATCAATTGATCTGCTAGGATCTCCTGAAAATGTTGATAGCTTTGGGATGTAAGTAGAGATTGATGACTGAAATAATGGTGGTTTAAGGTCCTTACTCTTTGGAGTAAATATGGGTGCCGAAAAGAAAGGAGGTGGACTAGGTATCTCTTTCTTGACAGTCTTATGCTGTTCAACAAATGTATTGAAAGCTTCATTTGTGAAGACTTTGTAATCATGATCTTGAAGATACTTTATAATTTTCTCTTTTTCTTCCGTTGTTAACTCTTTTGTTGTCTCTGGAAGATTTTCTTCAAATTCTACTTCTTGAATTTCATCACTTGTTTCTTTGCCAGCCATTGTGAAAATTCAGAATGTTTTACACTAATGATTACATGCAAAATGATAATACTGTGTAAACAACACTGCAAAAAAATGAATGATTTCAAAATGAAAAATCAATTGCATTCATTCAATGTCAATAGACAAAGATAATCTGACAAAAAAAAAGAAATCAAACAAGCAAGCTCAAGCACGCTGCGCAATAAATGCAATGCATAAATCCTAAAGCGCAAAGCAATGCAGAGAAAACAAGTGCGTATTTGAAACGTATGAAGAAACCGTGAAAGAAATCGCACGAAAATAATTCAAAGAAAACGCGCGACACAATTCCTGAAAATAAAAATTTTATTTAATCTTTGTACCCTTGATTAAATACACCTGATTGTTTAACACTCACATTTTATATTGTGCCTATTTACTTTCAGTATTTAATATCTTCCTATTTTAATTTACCTATTTAAAACATGGTTATCTGACTTTAGGGTGAAGGACAAAGGGCAATGTATTCTACCAACCACTTACCATAAACAACCTTGAAAACTCAACTTCTAATTTCAAAAAGTCAAAGTCGCTAAATGGGTCAGTAGTAAAATATCAGAATGTAAATAACAGGAAAGTGAATAAGTATTTAGTATATCCTGTAAATGATAAATGTCTCACTCCATCCACACAAGGACTCTTTCAGTGATTTGTACTGTCAAAGCTGTTATGAATATAAATTACATTTTGTAAACAACTCAAAAGTCAAATGTGTCAATTTACCTCTGAAAATTCAAAATATATACTTCAGAAACAAGTTTGGTACCAGAATGAGAAAATTAAGACGTAGGCCTATATGATTTACAAATGAAACAGCAAACAGCTGATCGACAAGCTGTTAATGTAAACAAGCACTGAAATACTCAATAAAATTCAAAAATACAAATAAATTACATGACTTACTTTAAATAAGCAATATCCAAATAAGAATAAACAAAATTATCAAATAATTTTACACTTTTATCAGTCTAGAAGTCTTGAAATTCACAAATCCACGTGTGGAAAACAAGTTCAGGTTCAAACCGGATATAGAGTTTCACTGGAAATGTTAAAGTCTTTATGGACGGAAAAGAAATTTCCGGAAAGTTTATAGTACAAATCTGGATGGACGGAAAACAAATTTCCGAAATTTTTATAGCACAAGTATATATATGTTCACAAAAGTGCAGTTTCTTCTGAACAAAACTCACTCAGGTGTGACACAGGTAGGTTACCTTGTGTGTTGTCAGTCTGTAGCAAAAACACAACAGCTGTTGAAATGTTGATTGAAGGCTTTGATCCACCACTGACTTTATTATCTATGGGGGACTGGAGGTGGCTCCTGCAGTTGGTGCCATCATCATCATTGCCCCACGTTGGGCGCCAAATTTGTAGCAGAGCAGCAATCAAGACAAGATGGTTTTGAAATCAGTGTGATGTTTATTACATGGATTATATACTTAAGTACCAGATTCTGCAAAACAATATAAAATACATTAACTATATCTGATATCACACATAACAGCAGAATCTATTGTTATCATAAAATCAAATAATTACTACATATTAATTAGATCATAAAATAATATTGACACAGGTCAATGAGTTATATCTCTTGACAAATGATATTTCTCTTTATATATTCACTTCATATAGTGGATAAATATTTACAATATACATGTACATATAGCTACATACCAAACTATGGGTATGAATCCATCTCTATTTCTAATACAGTGTATATGTATTGCTATGGATTTAATATCTACAATTCATAAATAACATTTATACACTATATATTCTTTTGTGTCATAAAATACATTTCATTACAAAGTTTAAAATCAACTAGTTCATCAGCTTTGACAAACTTAAATAATTTAATAAATTCTCTCATATGCCACTTTTCATTCATACAATTATTAATATGAAAGTATTAATGTGAAATAAGAATGTCAAAAAGTCAACTTACTGTCAGTGGTCTATAAAATACTCCAAATATCAAAAATACAACTTTACACACTGACTGCTCCTAGGCTAGTAATTATCTGGACACTCTGGACAAAGGGGGTTAAAGGTTTTGGTGGGAAAATATTAACCAATGGCAATTCTTACTTATTTATTTATTCAAGGTTAAAAGTTAAACTGTAATTTAGAACTCTAGAGATTTCTAGACTTTAATTAGAGGTAGTTGTTATAAATTTATTTAAATGTTTAATATTTAAATAAAACATTTTTATTTTAAATTAAGTTTATTATTGAAAGTTATTTCATAACTTTCAATGGCATCTGAAAGAAAATTGTTGTTATAATTAAAATCAATATAAAAACATGACTATTACAATAACAGTTTAGGTTTGATTTCCTTCATTTCAAGCAAAGGTATTAATTTGAATTTTTGAAGGCTGAGGGAAAAGAACCTTGAAATCTTAAATTAAAGTATCCTGCAGCCCCCCCCCCCCCTTTGAAAAAAATGCACTTACTCTTTGAGTACAACCACCACGAGCAAGGATAAAGGCTGTTATGTAGTGCAAAGCAGACATCTCTTGATTTCTTCCATGCAAACATATAGCACTGGAGAGCATCACATGAAAGAAGGGTTTGCTGAGAATCCCTGGGGGTGGATTTTGCACCATGGATGATATAATAGAGAGAGTATGAGGACATCTGTTCTGAAGATCTTTACTCAGATTTTCCCACTGAAAGTTAATGAAATCTTCATATTCTTTTTTTTGAAGAAATGAACCAGACCCTCGATGACAGATTTTGCTACACTCATCCTCTATTATTTTAGTCACTGCATTCACCACAATGTTGGGATTTTGCTGACATAAAGTGTTCACAATAGTCTTGTCTACATTTTTGTTGTCCAATATGGCTTTACATACAACTTTGTGTGAAGGAGATACAACAAGCACAGACTTTTTTCCACTTGGGTAATTAATTGACACCTACAAAGAACCAATGATAAAATTTTAAATCCTATTTTGTCCCTAATACAAACCAAATTACCATGTATATTTAAACATCTTTATGTGTGATGAACTGCTATCAATTCAGTTATTGAATAGATTAATTATCCAAATTATTAGATTTCATTTTTACTTTTCAAAATAAATATGGATATAATTAAGTATTATAAAAATGTAGAATAATTGATTGAATGACTTATACATGCATATCTTAGTAGGAAGAAATGCAGTCTTACCATATCAAGCTAATCCTGGAAAAGTGTAAACTGGTCAGAACAAATGGGAAACTCTTGAAGTAATTAACTGGAAATAACTGCAAAAAATAAAACAAATAATAACTAACAAATACAACAAAAGGCCATAATGCTCATCTGATTCACCATGCTCCTGCTGTCCTTCAGAAGATTTGTTTTATAATTTTTCCCCTAATATATTCCTTTCTATAATTTTGATCCCTTATGTGGATCCATCCTAGCCCCTAGTGGTCATGACTAATTTGCACTTTAAGCCATACTTTTCTAAGGGATATGGGGACTGAGTCCTACTAAACAGTCTATTCATAATTTTAACACACTTTGAATCCACACTGAATATTTGCAGTTTAATCCCCTGTACATTGTAGAGCTTATTACAAAAAACAAAAGAAAACCAAAAAAAACAACTTATGTTAGATAAAACTTTATTATTGTGGCCCAATGCACCCTACACATACCCCTGGGGCCATGAATCAAAATTGAATCTACACTACCTGTAAAAAATGGGGGAAAAAGACAATGGATGGATGACTGACAAACTTTGATCAAAAAAGCTCTCTTGAGTCTTTGCTCAGGTGAGGTAAATAACAAAACATAAAAAAGAACGTTTAATAAAGTCAACCAAAACAGTCACATGTTAAAATGCAATAAACATGATCAATCTGATAAAAAAGAATTCCAACAAAATTAAAATGTATTTCATGTATAGCTTTCACAATAAATGAATGTTTTGGATGACCATTGAACATGAAGCATGCATATAACAACATAAAATTGAGAAAAGTCTCACCTCTACTTCCCCTTGACCTTGAATAATCTGGTTAGATTTTTCAATTTGTTTTTCAATATCTGAAATACATAAAAACCTATTAAAGCTATGAAATAAATTCATGATGACATTTATTATAGTTTATGATTTTTTTTAAATTAATGATACACCATATTTACACCAAATTTGCATATTATACAAAGTTGATTTTACCATGATTTAATTTGAAATTTTTAAATAGTAACTCTGCTAATGACCTATCATTGATTAAAATACCTCCACTGGGGGGATCTCTTATGTCCACAAAAGATAAGGATTTCCTTGCTGGCTTCTTGTTTTCTTTGTTAGCAGGAACTGTAATAGTAATAATATGAATTAGGAAAGACTAATTTGGGGAATTGATGTACTGATAATTGATATACTGATAATTCTTATATATCTTATGTATCATGTCTTATGCAAACACATCACCCATGCATGTGTGATCTGTGCCTGGCATTTTGGAAAAAATTAGGCACTTCAGAATACATTTACATGAATGAGGAGGCTGGAGCACAAGTTTCAAATTCAAGCAGAAGATATGACACTTGAATTGTTCCTTAGTATCATTATGCACTAGAAAGGCACAATAAACATGTTCAAATACATGTACTTCAATATTTAATTTATGTATTTTGTAGGCACTTGTACAAACTATTTGGAAATTTGACAACATTCTTGAACAATCACTCTGACATTTATTAAATTATCATACAATTAGTCTAATCTATCATACCATTCTTAATTGTCATACCATTTGGATGTGGCAAAATATTTCCAAACATGGGTTCAGCTAAGGTATCAACAGACTTCTCTGCTTCACCATGTTCACGAACAGACACCTGCTGATTTTAAAGAAAAGAAAGAAAGCTTGATTTGATTCCATTTGTCCACCATATAATTAAATATATGAAAAAATAAACCTTATCATTAACTGTATGGAAGTCAAAATCTAGATCATGTAGATTGCTCATTTATATAATCAGTATAGGCATGATAAATTTGTTCCCTCTGCAATGTACTGAATTGAACAAAATTGAATTCACATATTCCATGAAATCAAAAAATTCATATAGTCAGTCCAATCCTTTTATGTTTCATTCATAACAATTAAAATATTGTAAAAATTAAAAGTCGAAAAACTTAAAATATTGAATACCTGTTTCAAGATGTCTCCATCAAGGGTACGTTTTGTGTTGTACCTAAACACGCTTACTGGCGCCAACTTTACTGGAGTGACTTTTCTGATTTGTACTAAAAGAGGATCTGTTGTTGCACACACTTCTGATTTTGAACGCTTCTTTAAACTATCCACTGAACTCTTTTGTTCTCGCTTCGTGACAGCAAACGATTTACTTGGCGATGGCACACAAACACTGTATCTATCCAAGGTAGCATTCAACGACTTTCTGAAATGTTCTCTCATACTCACAGCTTCTCTTTCTATTTTAAAAACTTTTTGGACATTTCGAAAACACTTTTGGCATACACCTGCGTCTGGAGGAAATGTGGTCCGAGTGTCCTCAGGAAAACCACAAACATTTTTTATATCACCCACTCTTTCGGTTGTAAGTCTTAATTTTTTGTCTACATATTTGTGAATCACAACTTTTCCTTCGTTGTCCACTGACTTACTTATGAAAGAGAACCCGCAAATTACGCATACATTACCGAGGGGATAAATTTTAACTGGCGTCATGGGCGCCGCCATTTCGTTCTTTCGGATCTAAATTTAACTTTCATAACGTTCGGAACTTTTCTTGAGTTATCGAGTTGCGGTACCTTCAAAATTTTTACCAGCGTTGATTTCATTGGTTAATTCAAAGGTCACACTGAGGTGACCTCGGACGGGGTGTTGTTAGATCTTGTATTGAAGCGTATCGTAGAGGAGCGAAAATTACAAGTCTAATTTTAATTAGATTGTTGCTAAGCGAGCAACATACCACTAGACCACGGAGGCACTTGATCATACAGTAAATTAAATGCACACATTAAATGTTTATATTCACGTTTGATATTGTCAAAATTTTACACAACAAATGTTGTCTAATTTAGCCTTTACTAAACAGTTCCAATAGATGTAATTAGAATATAAAGTCCGCCGACAACCTGTATTATACCTAAAAATAGTGCCAAGCGACTTTTAATACAATAGATAAATAAATAAAAAACGGGGCGGGACACTTTGAGAGGGGAAAGATAGGCCATAGGGACATATGGTATAAAATTTCATCGCAAAAGCTCAAAACTTTTTGAGATATCGCCCGGAAACGAAAGTGTTACACACAGACGGAATGTATGAATTTACGACCTTGAACTTTGACCTTTTGACCTCAAAATCAATAGGGGTCTTCCTTAGGCCACAGGGAGTTGTGTAAAATTTCATTGCAAAAGCTCAAAGGATTCTCGAGATATCGCGCGGAAACGAAAATGTTAAAAAAAAAGACAAAATTTATGACCTTTAACCTTTTGACCTCAAAATCAATAGGGTTCTTCTTTAGGCCATAGGGAGTTGCTATGCAAAATTTCATTGCGAAAGGTCAAAGGGTTCTTGAGATATCGCGCGGAAACGAAAGCGTTACAGACAGAAATACAGACGGACGGCGGACGGATGGACAGACAGACATACCCAAATTAATATCCCCCACTTTCAGTGAAAGCAGGGGGACAAAAAAGAATTCAAACCATACAAAGGGATGCAACGAAGGATGATATACTGAAAATTGCCAAGGAATTAGGTAACATGGACGAAGATTCAAAATGTTATCTTGGGACGTATGAGGGTAAGTCGTTAGATAAGAAAATAATATGTTCTCAGTTTGTTAAAAAAAACCCAAATTTTGTTATACTTCCATTGGTCTACTTTATCAAGCGGAATGAATTTATTCTACTTTGTAAAATAAAAAAAATACTTTACATTTAGAAGCAATGAAGTCAATCATTGGAAGTTTTAAATTGTACATGTATTTATTCCAGTGAATCTCTCTCTCTCTTCTAATACCAGGATTCTAGATCGTAAGACATAACTTTCAGAAGGTCATTGACGGTACGAAGATCTAAAAACTATGAAGTGTTTATACATGATTATATAAACAGAAACTTATTAAAAATATATTACCCTGTTAAATTGAATCTCTCTCTCTCTCTCTCCTAATACCAGGATTCTAGATCGTAAGACATAACTTTCAGAAGGTCATTGACGGTACGAAGATCTAAAAACTATGAAGTGTTTATACATGGTTATATAAACAGAAACTTATTAAAAAAAATATTACCCTGTTAAATCGATTCAATCAGTTGAACACTTTATCCATATAAGTGGGAAAAAAGGGATGGGGTGTTAAGAGGAGGCTTTCAACTAAAAGGTGTATGGTAATTCATTCAAAGAATTTTTCACCTTATTACACCGAGTATTTTGTTTGAAGTTTATTTTGTATTGTACGTATTCGTATTATGTGACCAGTTTCAGGGGATATTTCTGCTTTATGAGCATTTATTATCTCCTCTTTAGGGAATTCATTTCCGCAACTCTTAAGCCCAAGCCTTCTCATCATGCTTTAATATTTACACTTATTCAAAAGTTAATTTAAAGACTATCGCTTTTTCTGTAACAATTTTTTAAACATCAACGTTTACTCGGCACTCAGGACCAATGAGCAGTGAGAATTCTTTATCGTACCAACGCCTACCGTGACACGGGGCCTCGGTTTTTAAGGTCTCATCCGAAGGACCCGCAACATTCATTTCAAGGTGCCAAAGTGATTCGAACACATGACCTTCCGATCACCGAATTAGCGCTCTACCGACTGAACTACAGTGATGGCCAATATATAACTTTTGATTGATTAATTGTATGTTGTTTTACGTCCCCTTCGAGAATTTTTCACCAATACAGAGAGGTCACCATATACCGGTGAAGGGCTTAAAATTTAGATCTTTACTCAGCACTTAGGGCCATTGAGCACTGAGGGTTCTTTGCCGTACCTCCTACCATGACACGGGGTCTCGGTTTTTAAGGTCTCATCCGAAAGACCCGCATCTTTCACTTCAACGTGCCGTGCGCTTGGCGAAGGAAAAGTTGCCCCCTTTTTTATCGACTTAGGTCAGTCGCGGCCGTGATTCGAACACATGACCTTCCGATCACGGAGCGAGCAATCTACCGACTGAGCTACCGTGACGATCTATATATAACTTCTGAAAGATACATCATTCATATTAGACATGTGCATTACCTGTAACATGAAATTTCCGAAGATGCTATGATATTTGACACCGTGACCATGAAGTGTGACCTAATTTTTAAATATTTTAACATTGGTGATAACTTTTGAATGTGTGAAAATAGCTAGGGCGTTCATATTTAACAAGACTAGTGCATTACCTATGACAAGAAGTTTCCGAATGTGATATGTTTGACCCCGTGACATTGACCTTCAGGTTTGGCATAATTTTCAAAAATTTTGTCATTGCTGCAAACTTTTGAAGGAGAAAAGATAGGGCATTTATGTTTGACATGTGCATGACCTTTCCGAATGTACTCTGGTTTTTGATCTAGTGACCTTAACCTTAAAGTTTAAGCTACAGTCTCTTTTAAATTTTATTTACATCGGTACTAACTTTTGAATGTGAGAAATAGGGCTCTCATATCTTACATGTACATTACCTAAGACAACTTTCAGGAAGGTACACGAATTATTATCACTTTTGACTTCATGACCTTGACCTTTTTCTAGTAAAATATCCAGATATGAAACAGATGTGTAGACTCTATGGTGTCTTTAATTTTCTAGTTAAAGGGATACATCTGATAGAAGTTTGAAGGACACACAAACAAGACCGTTACAAATTGGATCTCAACCACTAAGACACCGAAAGCTGGAGACCAAAATTCTTTTGCTTGTTTTTATTTTCTTGTCAATTCGATGGTCCTTAGTTTTTTAGTAAGTGTATATTTGTGATTCATTTATCTATGGCTAGGCGTTCGCTTCGTGATCGAGAGGCCCGGGTTCGATTCTCTTTCGCCGCGCCGCGTCAGAACTAAGACGTAAACGTAGATGGCGACTGTTCCTTCGCCAAACGCACGGCATTATAAGTGAAAAATCACGGATCTTTGGTATGAGACTTTAAAAACCGACTGCTCAATATCCCTGAGTGTCGAGTATATTTCTACATTTCAAGTCCTTCACTTATATGTGGTGACGTCTCCATCTGAGTGAAAATTTTTTACATAAACCATACAATTAATCAATCCATCAATCAATCTATTTATTTACAAGGGTTTGATAGTGAAGTAGTGTATGTGTAAACTGACAACGCTGGTAAACGTTTATATGTGTATTCAGTATTAAATCATACAAGACTTACAACAGTATAAATGTGCAATCTTTACTGCACGGTCTCACACAACTGCACACTACCGTTCACCACTCAAAACCAGACGACAACTAACTCGCACATGCGCATCACACACGGACGGTGCTAGGTTAAGTCGTACCTGCACATACTCATACCACACTACTCTCCCCTCCCCTTTTGAAAAAAAATAGGCAGGTACTCCTTTACCTTAACACAACATATGTAAGTCTTGTTAAAGTCATTATTCTAAAATGTGACTAGATTTGAATATGACAACCGGATTCGAAAACAGTATGCAAATAATCATACTATAATGTATGACATGGACATAGTGAAGAATTTTGGCAAGCAACATCATATGTAACATGATAACAACCTAAAAACTGAGTACATTATGAATACATGCCACATCATGATGAAC